TTTATTGGGCCCCAAGTCTAATAGACCCCAGGTTTATTGGGCCCCAAGTCTAATAGACCCCAGGTTTATTGGGCCCCAAGTCTAATAGACCCCAGGTTTATTGGGCCCCAAGTCTAATAGACCCCAGGTTTATTGGGCCCCAAGTCTAATAGACCCCAGGTTTATTGGGCCCCGGTTCTGTTGGACATCAAAGAGTTAAATAATAGGCCTATGGTTTAACCCTAAATAGTGTGTCAGGTCAGGTCAGGTCAGGTCTGGTCAGGTTAGGTCAGGTGGGGTTAGGTTAGGTGGGGTTAGGTTAGGCTAGGTGGGGTTAGGTTAGGGTAGGTGGGGTTAGGTTAGGGTAGGTAGGGTTAGGTTAGGGTAGGTGGGGTTAGGTTAGGGTAGAAGAGAGGGGGAGTGAGTGACAGAGAGGGTAGTTGAGAGGGCGTGTGATAACATGGTGAGAGGGTGATGGACGGGTGAGGTGAGGGAGAGGGGAAGGAAGGATGAAGTGACACGAGTGGGGTGGAGATTTAAAATGATGAGAGGGAGAGGGAGAGGGAGAGAGAGAGAGAGGGGGAGAGAGAGAGGGCGAGAGAGAGAGGGAGAGAGAGAGAGAGAGAGAGAGAGAGAGATCCCAAACACTCTCTCTCTCTCTCTCTCTCTCTCTGTTGTCTCAAGCTATTAATAATCCGTCACTCAAATCTAACTGGAAATTAACCCAAATATTTTACCCATATTTAACCTAACCTAACACTAACCTGACCTGACCTGACCTGACCTGACACTAACCTAACCAAACCAAACCAGTTTTCCTCTGAAGTTTCTAATGAAGGAATTATTATTATTATTATTATTTGTTTAAGTCAATTTATTTCACTTTGTTTATACAGTATTTTTGTTCTTGTTTATTTTAGTTATTATTTATTAACTTATTATTTTATTAGAATATAATTTAGTATTTTTTTTAATGATTAACTTCTTAAATAAATAAACATAATGAAATACCTCCTTTTTTACTGCGACAGTTTTATTACGTTTGAGTTTGGGGGAATTTACGGGAAATAAAAGAAAATTACCGGAAGTAAAGGAAGAAAACACTTGGGGTAGTTAACAAAAAGTGCAAAGGAAAAAAGTGCAGGGGAAAAAGTGCACGGGAAAAAAGTGCAGGGAAAAAAGTGCAGGGAAAAAAGTGCAGGGAAAAAAGTGTGGGAAGTAAAATTCGTTGGAATAAAAAAAGCGAGGAAGAAAAAAACGTGGAAATTTATTAGAGGCTCGGGAAATAAGTTCATTGGGCGCGGTAAGTGACATAAATATGGGCCAAGTGGAAAGATGGTCAAATGGCTGCCGTATTGTATAGGTTAGGTTAGTTAGGGTTAGGTTAGGTTAGGATATACACATAGGTTAGGATACATACATACATAGGACATTACCATATAAACACACTCTCTCTCTTCTCACATTTTGGCTCTGTAATATTACATTTTATGTAGTACCCTATGACCCAGACTCACAAACTCATAAAAGACTCCACAAAGACCTCACAAAGACTAAAAAAATACTCCTCAAAGACTCTAAAACTCACAAAAATAATTCTGAAGACTCACACAAAAGACTCACAGACTACCAAAGACTCAACAGAAATTCGCCAAGCCCCACAAAGACTCACAATACAAAGACTCACAGACTCCCCAAGACTCACAAAGACTCACAATATACTCCCCAAGACTCACAAAAGACTCCCAAGCCCCACAAAGACTCACAAAAGACTCACAAAGACTCGCCAAGACCCACAAAGACTCACAAAAGACTCACAGACTCACAAAAGACTCACAAAGACTCGCCAAGACCCACAAAGACTCACAAAAGACTCAAACACTCACACACACTCACAAAAGACTCACAGAAGACTACCCAAGACTCATGGACCCACAAAAGACTCATAGTAAACACAGGTGCAATTAGCGTCACCCACCTGCAATTAGCGTCACCCACCTGCAATTAGCGTCACCCACCTGCAATTAGCGTCACCCACCTGCAATTAGCGTCACCCACCTGCAATTAGCGTCACCCACACTCCGCAATTAGCGTCACCCAATTCGCAATTAGCGTCACCCACCTGCAATTAGCGTCACCCACCTGCAATTAGCGTGACCCACCTGCAATTAGCGTCACCCACCTGCAATTAGCGTCACCCACCTGCAATTAGCGTCACCCACCTGCAATTAACGTGACTCACCTGCAATTAGCGTGACTCACCTGTAGGATTGCGTTCAAAGGTAGACACGGGTGGCATCCTGGTGACTCCCGGTGACCTGTGGGCGGCCGAACGATGGTGATGGGTGGGTGGTCGGAAGCGTCGTCGGGCGGTGACACACAAGCCACCCACCGCCCGACGGAAGTTCTGCCCGGTGACGCAGTAGAGAAGGAAGTTGATGGCGAAGTTAGTGTAGAATAAGAGGGTAAATGTCTGCTGTAGGGTGTAGAACAGGGCGCTCTTCTCACATCTCTCCCCGCACTGTAAGAGGAGGGTTAGGTTAGGTTTGGGTTGGGTTGGGTAGGTATTCTGACCTATTTTCTATATAGCTTTAAGGGGTAACTGAATTAATATAAAAAACTAACCTATTTTTACATATTTACATCCAAATATATACAAGAAATATATAATTTATATCTATTACAAGAGATAAAATATTGATACTTTAACTTTTACTTATAATTTAGATCTAGATTTACTTTATACTTGAAAAAAAAAGGACTTTGTGAATATTTTTTTACGTAAATTGATGTAAATAAATGAATGACTTGTGGTTTTTTTTTTTACGTAAATTGATGTAAATAAATGAATGACTTGTGGGTTTTTTTTTACAGGTATGTGTGTATGTCCTTGTTACCTGGTTATCACGTGAGTACCTGTGTTTACCTGTTGTAGCTTACCTGAACCCCCAAATGAACAAAATGAACCCATGAATCTCAAAACTGAGCCCTGACTCCCCAAAGTGAATCCTCGACTCCCATAACCGAACCCTGACTCCCAAAACCGAACCACGACTCCCTAAACCGAACCCCGAACCCCCAAAATCGAACCCCGACTCCCAAAATCGAACCTCGACTCCCATAACCGAACCCTGACTCCCAAAACCGAACCCCGACTCCCAAAACCGAACCCTCGAATCTTTTAAGGAAATTTTTCGTGTCTTGATTTAAAATAATAAGAGTACTGACATTGGTAGATACTTTTAAGGGAGATAGATAATAGCCGGAGGGAGATTGGGTAATAATGAGGTAGGAAGGGGAGTGAGAGACGTAGGGTGGGAGGAAGGCAGGGAGGTAAGGGCAAGAAGGGAGAAGAATAGTGTCCCGTCACCTTCAGGTAAACCTCACCATTGTTTACCTGAACCCAGCCCCTCCTTCCTCCCTCCCTCCCTCTCCCTCCCTCCTTCTCCTCCTCCCTCCTGCCCCTCCTCCAACCAAACTCCTTTATCACGTGTGTGTGTGTGTGTGTGTGTGTGTGTGTGTGTGTGTGTGTGTGTGTGTGTATTCCACACACACACACTCAATAATCCCTTATCAACGACCAGGTAAAAGTTCTTCCTTTTTCAGTATTGGGATAAAATTACCAATCGCAGCTAAATTACCAATCCGAATCGTCTTAATGGAGATTTGGATTAATTCTCGTTGGCTAATTGGTAATGGAGTCCCAATTAAATTTAAATTGGATTCCTATTAATAGCCATTTGAACGGACGTGGTGGGGGTCAGCTGTTATGTGAGTCAGCTGATTGATGTCAACAAATGTCAGCTGATTAATGTCAACACGTTAGAATTGTGATGACAATAATAATAATAATAATAATAATTAACGGTTTATTGAAATATACGTTACATAGGGTGGTTACGAATTACAAATAATATACAAGTGACATAAGTGACACAAATAAGACATATAGTAACAGATGGGGATCAGCTCAAACTACAGTTCATTTCAACATAGTGACAGTGTAAGGAGCAGTGTTTACTGGGAGTGAATACACTGGTTTATTACAAGTTATTGATAATTTTACAATGGTTGGGACTGGAACATGGCATAGCGATGAGTTGGTGAATTATTGTGAAGTGTGTGTGTGTGTGTGTGTGTGTGTGTGTGTGTGTGTGTGTGTGTATACAATTTATCCGTCATTTTCATCTTGTTACACGAAACCTAACCTAACTCATTCCTTTCCATTCTCCCTCCCTCTCACCTGCCTCTCCTCCTTCTCACCTGCCCTCTCACCTGCCATCTCCCTCCCTCTCCCTCCTCTCACCTGCCCTCTCCCTCCCTCTCACCTGCCCTCTCCCTCCGTCTCGCCTGCCCTCTCCTGCCCCTCTCCTCCTCACGCCTCCCTGCCCTCTCCTCCTGCCTCCTCACCCTCCTCTCTTTCCGTCTGTTTTTATGGTGATGTTGACGGACAGGCTGACTAACGAGGAGGAGGAGGAGGGGAGAGGAGGAGGGAGGAGGAGGAGGAGGGAGGAGGAGGAGGAGGAAGAAGGGGTACGAGGAGGAGGGGAGGAAGGGTAACGGAGGAGGAGGAGGAAGGAGGAGGGAGGAGGAGGAGGATTGACACTTTCTAACCCTTCTTCTTCTCCTTCCTCCATCATCTGTCTCCCTACCCCTCACCCCTACCCCTCACCCCTACCCTCACCCCCTACCACCTCACCCCTACCCCCTCACCCTACCACCTCCCCCTACCCTCCCACCCCTACCCCTCACCCCTACACCCTCACCCCTCCCACCTCCACCCCTACCCCTCACCCCCTACCCTCACCCCTACCCCTCACCCCTACCCACCTCACCCCTACCCCTCACCCCTACTACCTCACCCCCTACCCCTCACCCCTACCCCCTCACCCCTACCCCTCCCCCTACCCCTCACCCCTACCCCTCACCCCTACCCTCCCACCCCTGCCTCTACCCCCCTTCCCCCTACCCACCTCACCCCTACCCCTCACCTACCCACCTCACCCCTACCCCCTCACCCCTACCCCCTCACCCCTCACCCCTACCCCTCTTCCCCTCACCCTACCACCTCCCTACCCTCACCCCTGCCCTCACCCTACCACCTCACCCCTACCCCCCTCACCCCTGCCCCCTCACACCACCCCACTACCCCTCACCCCTACCCACCTCACCCCTACCCCTCCCCTACCACCTCCCCTCCCCCTCACCCCTACCCACCTCCACCCCCTCCCTTACCCCTCCCTACCCCTCACCCCTACCCCCTCCCCTACCCCCTCCTGCCCTCACCCCTACCCTTCACCCCTACCCCCTCACCCCTCATCCCTACCCCTCCCCTACCTCACCCCTACCCCCCCTCTTTGCTTCCCTCCCTGCCTCCTACCCCCCACCCCTTCACCCCTACCCCTCCTACCCCTACCCCTCATCCCTACCCCCCTCACCCCCTACACTCCCCCTGCCCCTTCACCCCCTACCTTCCCCTTCTCCCCTCACCCCTACCCCTCACCCCTACCCTCCCTTACCCTCCCCTACCTCCCACCTCACCCTCCCCCTCACCCCTACCCCTCACCCCTGCCCCTCACCCTACCCCCCTCATCCCTACCCCTCATCCCCTACCCCTCACCCCTCCCCCCTCCCCCTACCTCACCCTACCTCACCCCCCTACCCCCCCACCCCTCACCCTCCCCTACCTCACCCCCACCCTCACCCCTACCCTCCCTTACCCCTCACCCCCCCCCCTACCCCTCACCCTACCCCTCACCCCTCTACCTCCACCCCTCACCCCCCTACCTCACCCCTACCCCTCACCCCTACCCTCACCCCTACTCACCCCTACCTCCCCACCCCTACCCCCCTCACCCCTACCCCTCACCCCCCTCACCCCTACCTCCCCACCCCTACCCCTACCTCCCCCTCATCCCCACCCCCCACCCCTACCCCCCTCCCCCCACCTCCCCCTCCCCACCCCCTACCCCTCACCCCTACCCCTCCACTCCCTCTTCCCTCCCTACCACCTCACTACCCCTCCCTACCCCTCCACCCCTACCCCCTCACCCCTACCCCCTCACCCCTACCCCTCACCCCCTACCTCACCCCCTACCTCACCCCTGCCCCCTCTGCTACCACCTCACCCCTACCCACCTCACCCCTCCCCTCTTCCCCTCCTCACCTTCCCCCTCATCCCTACCCCTCCCCCTACCCCTCACCCCTACCCACCTCACCCCCCTACCTCCACCCCTACCCCCTCCCCACCCCCCCCTCCCCTACCCCTCACCCCCTACCCCCTCACCCCTCCCCCTCCCCACCCCCCTCACTTTCACCCCACCTCCCCCTACCCCTCACCCCACACTCCTACCTCATCCCTCTACCCCCACACCCCCTCATTCTCCACCCCTACCCCCTCACCACTTTCACCCCCCACCCCTCTTCCTTCTCACCCACCCCTCACCCTACCACCTCACCCCTACCTCCCCCTACCCCTCCCACCCCTCCCCCTCCCCTGCCCCCCCACCCCTACCCCACCTACCCCTCACCCTACCCCCTCACCCTACCCCCCCACCCCTACCCCTCACCCCTACCCCTCACCCCTACCCCTCCCACCCCTACCTCACCCCTACCTCCCCTCCCTCCCCCACCCCTCCCCCTACCTCCACCCCTACCTCCCCCTACCCCCTCCCACCCCTACCCCTCCCACCGCTACCCCTCCCATCCCTACCCCCTCACCCCTACCCCCTCCCCACCCCACCTCCCACCCCTACCCCTCACCCCTACCCCCTCACACTACCTCATCCCTACCCCCCTCACCCACGTATCATCACCTGGTTGGAGTCACCTAAGTAACGTCAACCTGAACTCACCTAATTAGGGGTCATATCCAGCGTCCACTACACCACTACACTACACACCACTACACTACACCACCACCACACCTACTACACCACTACACTACACCACCACTACACCACACACACACACACACCACACACACCACCCACACACACTCACACTACACACACCACTACACCACTACACACACTACACCACACCACACCACTACACTACACCACACCACACCACTACACTACACCACCACCCTACACGCTGGACCACACCCCTTGATAAAGTCTTCCCTCTCTAGCCCTCTCCTTCCCTCCCTCTCTAGCCCTCTCCCCTCTCTCTACCTGAGGACCCCTCGTCTTGTGGGTCAGGGGTCGACCTTCCTGGGGCGTGTAGGCACTCTGTAAGGGGCCCTAGATGCCAGGCGTCAGCACCTGTGGGAGAGAGAGAGAGAGAGAGAGAGAGAGAGAGAGAGAGAGAGAGAGATTCCTGGATTAACGACTCGTAATCCTGTTGGTAATCTGTTTTGTTAATCCACTTCAAGGAGGGATTTGTTTTTTGGTCCACCAGGTTTGGTAATATCTCTACCTGATACTGACGTTGTATCTGTTGTTCCCATTTATGTATAGTGGCTTAGTGGTGGCGGCGGCTGATGGCAGTGGTGAAGAGGTGGCAGTAACCGACGGC